CATACTACATACTACCAGAAAGGTTGTTGAGTATCGTTCCTTAACTTCTGGCCAAATTGCAGTTAATGTCAAACGGCAAAGGGCTATTGACAATGAATTTTTTAGCATGTGGTGTGTGTGTGCAGCCCATTCTATTGACATATTTCCACTCCCCCCACTTCTCCTGTAGTGAAGAGAAGAGCCCAGGAGCCTGCAAATATCTACCTATGTCACCCTGCCATTGGACAACAGCAGAAAGGGATTCACAGAGAGGTAAATCTGTTGACTATGCAATTACAGTGCTCACCATGTACCAGTGGAACAGCTTAATGTGGCTATTTCCTGCTTTAATCATTTCATTGCATCTTCGCCAGAGTCCATGCTTGGATGGAACTTTCTGCCTCAAATGTTTCAAGCTGCTAGTAGAAAATAAAAGGTCAGTCAGCTGTTAACTGCTATTGATGCACTGCATACTTGTGACATGGCAACTCCTGGACTCCCATGTTACTTAGAAAAATGGTGAATGCCTATTGATACCAAAAGGAAGAAGAGTGGAATAAGATTGTCACCAAAAAGAATATTAGCTGGCTCTTTTCTAATGGGCAAGTGAGAATGAAGTAAATCAGGAATTAATGAAAAGCTGAGAGAGCTACTGTTTTTTTCCCTCCATCTGGCACATACAGTGACCACCATTTAGCCACTGTATAGTTAGTTACTGCAGTCACATCTAGGATGCCAGTTAGTTTTTGTTCTAAATACAAGAAAAAATATTCTCCTCTCGCTAATCTCACTGTGTGACAAATGTGTGGATATGCTGACTTTGTCATAGTGACCCTCTGTTAGGGTTTCTTCACTCCACCTTGAATGCTGAAAATTATATACAGTGCCACCCATCAATCAGAAGGGACCTGAAATATATAGCTTTAAATTACAAACACTCTAAAACCTCAGCCCCAATGTTGACCTTTATTAAAATTTATGAATGATCATATAGTGTACATATATTCAGTGAAACAGTGTAAGACTGATCATTTCAGCACAGATCAACGGTCCAACTAGTTCAATATCCCAGAGTTGATCAAAACCGCATACTTCAGAGGATGGCATCAACTGGTATTGCTGTTGATTGTGTGTAAACTACCATGGAGGAAACTTATCCCTGGACTCAACTTATGCCCTGAAGCAAGAAGATTAACACTTGTTTTTATCCAAGCTATTGTATTGGCAGATGCTATTATTATTCATATAAATAGCTAATCTTTTTTATTGTTAAAAAACAGGCTAACTTGTTATGGCAAATGCACTAAAGGTAAAACTGAATTGAAATGTGCCTAAACTTTGAGTAAGGACCTAGGACTTGAGATTACCTCTAGTATTGAACAAAGGTGCCTACACCTCTCAGGGTGCTGACAGACATGCAGCTACCCGCTGTAACTCATGGAGCTTCATAGGAAGTGCCATGAGTTACAATGTCTCCCCCGATCCAACAGATATTCGCTGTTGATTTTGGCTGGTTGGGGAAACAAGCTCCAGTGTGCAGCGGCTGCATGTCTGCAGTTGCTGTCTCCCAGCTCTGCCACCCACTCCCAGCTCTGGTGCTGTCTTCTGCAGGGAGCAGGGAAGGGTGGTAAGGGAGTTTGAGCTGGGGTTTGCCCAGCCTGCACTGCACTTCAAGGGGGCTCCAATCACCTGCCCCATCCTCCAGCGCAGGCTGGGTAAACTCCAGACAGAACTCCCTCCCTCTTTTCTTCCCTTCCCATTCTGAAGGCAGCCATGAATATTAACTAACCACTTGGGCCAAAAGGCAAAAATGCCATGATGATTTGCTTTGATAGTAACATCTTTTACTACTAATGGTTATACAGACATGATTTATACACCCTGGTACAAAACTTAAGTATTTGGGCCACATGGGGACCTCTTTCAGGGATATTGGTTCCTGCATCACCAGCTAAATCAGACTGAGGATAGGTATAGATGTAAAACAAGGTAAGTTACAAAGCCACCACAGAGAGAGGGAATATATCTAAGACCACAGGATAAGTCATAGATTGAATTTCAGTGAAAATGGAAACTACTGTTATTTCTACAGCTGTGGTGCCCTCACACTTGGCAAAATCATAATCTGTGTAATCAGTGGGAAGACTCAGAGAAGAAGCCCCTGTGACAGAACACAGATGAAATGTACCTCCTAATGAAATATTCCAGAGGAACAAGTAGATTTAGCAGGACCTTTGTCTGCATGGTAATAATGCAGCCTTTATTTACAAGTAATTTTGCTTGGGAACATAGCTGTGCTAGTAAGGATTTCAAAAGGAACTTCACAGAACGCCATCCATGAAGAGGGCTGGGCAGCAGAGGACCCAAACACACGTGCCCAGTCTTCAGCTGGGAATCCTGTTATCTAGTTGACACCTTTTACGTACTTGAAATTATCACAAGAGTTGGCAGTGATGAGGGGCATCACAAAAACTGGCTCATCCAGGAGGTGTGTGTTTATCCACAATTAAATGTTAAGTCAACCAGGAAAAGCTGATCCATCCAAACTGGTAGGAAGAATATAGAAGACAGCTGCCTTATAAAGACCTGTTTAAAAATGCTAGGACTTGCTTCCCTACTGTGCCAAACATTACATAAAATGTAAACTTAGATTAAGTGTCTCTGATACTGGTTCTTCTTGCTCTGTCTGTCTTGCAACCTTAAAATTATCCTTGGAGGCTGTTTCTACTCAGAATCACTCTGAGGTGACCTCTGTTCTTGCAGGCTCCTATTTTAGCCAAAAAGATTTTCCAAAACGGCAATAAACTTACAATGGAAGCTGTAATACAGACAGCTGAATTTTAACATTACAAATTGCACTTTGCTCTCTGCTTGCATCTCTGCTATAATGATGCAATTTTCTCCAGAATGTGTTTGGGCATTTACATCCCCTGATGATGGAATTCAGCTGCCTTTATTTGTTTCTATATTCTTTATTTCTTTATTTGTTTCTACATTCATCAGGATACTATAACGTGTTGATGAAAGGCAAGGCATTTGTCCTACAACACCAATGCGGAGTTCAAAGTTGTTAAATGAATGCTTGTTGATCTCCTGTATGCTTAGCAATTTCATGTTTCGGGGGCATTCTTTAAACAAACAGTATTTGTCAGAATGACATCGGAGATTGAGATTACCAAGAACCACTGATCATCATTACAAAACTGGGGCTTGATTTAGTGTCAAGGTCTCTTGAATGGTTCTCCTTTTGATTAAATTGAGAGTTTGGAGTGTTCGGCATAAAACAGAACTGGGCTTGCACTCGCACTGATTTGTTGCCGGAAACTAGGTTATGTAGTCATCCCAGAGGCCACTGGGTGATCTTGGCTTATACTGACCTTCACAGAAGTTTGTGTTAGGGCCTTAAAAAAATGACTTATCACAACAAATCCTGCTTTCCTTGAGCTCATGAAGTCAATGAGATCTGCGTGTGTGCCCTTTATCTAGTTGCATTTTGATCATGACACCTGCACATAAGACTCTGTGCAAAACAACTGCTGGCTTCCAGCAGGAAAAAAAAAATCAAGGCAGACAGACAGACACACAAAGTGGATGGAGTTTAAGAGATGGAAATACATTTTCTGAGCAGCCAGGCTCCTACTGACTTAGATTCTTGTGCAGGTCAAGAAAATTCACAGTACACACTATAGACTTTGATGGATTACAGAAACAATTTCTTTGGCCTCCTTTGCGTTCTAACTGGACAGTGTTAGCCATGGCATATCCAGGTATCTTGTAATTTTGAAAACAAAAGCTGACCTCTTATAAGAGTGGAGGGTGAATCAGAATTTTCTCTGAGGAATGTTTTCTTTCCTTTTGTTTGTCCATTAGCACAATAGTCCTAGGACCTTATTCTGCACTTCAAGCTCCTTATTAATTCTGTTGAAAAAAACTTTACAAAGCTGCTGCTGTATAAGTGGAGGCTGTTTTTTTGGCACTCACAAGGCATGCCTACACATGCTCTCTAATGTGTAGTAGCCTATTTTACTGTGCATTAAAGTGGCGCAAAAACCAGTGCTATGTTGCAAATGCATAGTAAGAGAAGTTACTGCGCATTAAGCATCACTTAAAAAGCATGCATACCTCACATTAGAGGTACTAAATTTAATGTGCATTAGGAAAAACACATTAATGCACATGTAGATGTGCCCACAGAAATACAGATTACTGGTTTTTTTGATTGGCATGAGAATTACATATTTTACAGATTGCTTTTTTGGACTGTATTAGGCCTGGTAGAATGCACCAAATTAAAGAGGTTTGGAGAAGAGAATCTCCTAATTATTTTGAGGTAAGTACATAGCAGCAATGCATGCTCTCCCCAGTCCTGTCATCAATTTTGCAGGAATGTCTTGCTTCTAGCATAAAGAGATTCCCATCTAGAGGCAAGAGGAGCACTTCAGTTTTCTGCTTTCTTCATTACTTGGTCTCTCTCCTCAAATTGCTAAAATGAGCATCATCAAAGTGATGGGTTTTGTTATCTGCACTAGCCACATTTTCAACAGGCCAAAGAGCCAGCAACTCATAGACCTTGAGTGTATTTGAGCTCATGATCATACAAAGGAAGGATTCTCTCTCACGGTTACAGCACTGCACAGAGCCCAGGAGATCTGGATTCAATTTGTGTCTTTGCCATAGTCAAGTCATAGTCTTTAGTCAAGTTACTCTGTGTCCCAATTCCCCATCTGTTAAGTGGGCATAATGTTTCTTCTTTTCTCCCACCTTTAACTGTCTTGCCTATTTGTATTCTGAACTCTTCCAGGCAGGGGACTTCTCTTACGATTTGTCTGAAAAACGAGTCGTACAAGGGGGACTCTGATCTGATTTGAGCGTGGGCCTTCAGCTGCTATGGTAATACAGTTTATAACAAGATAAGTAATAACTACAGCTGAAAGGCTGTCAAATCCCCTGCAAATCCTCTAAACTGCAGGTGACTTTAGGTTTGTATGACCGACACACCAGAAGGAAAAGCATCATACTTGTTCTAAAAAAAATTAAACCCTTTTTATTGGTATATTTATTTTATATATAAAAGAAATACAAAAAAAGAACACAAACAAATGTTGATTATGGCAATTCACTTTTGTCGGCACCCTCTGCTTGGGCCACTGCCTCAGGTCCACTGGAAGTTAGCAAAGTCCGCCGGTTGTAGTGTCCCTTTATGATTCCAGAGTTATTATTTTCATTAAGGATTTGCTTCTGTTTTTGCCTGTTAAGAGACTGTACAAGTCCTAACACAACAGCCGCTAAGGAATACTGTCCAGTCAGTTTTCTTGGTTGTAAGATTAAAGGATTTGGTTGTACTCTTCCCAGAAGAAAATACGTTTTTATTTTCCCTTCCTGCTCGCTGATACCTTTGACGTAAATCTCTCCTCGATAGTCGAAGGCAAAGCCCCGGTCCTTCAGGATCAGATACGTTTCTTCAGGCACTTGTATTCTGTCACTAACACCTGTGCTGTCCATTCGACTAGCTAAGTTAACTGTTTTGCCCCAGATATCGTACTGGGGTTTCTTAGCACCGATAACTCCTGCTACAACAGAGCCATGGCTAATCCCTATAAGTAAAATAAAATTGAGAGGATACAGAATTAGACATTCACACACGAGGGTTTTAGATGTCAAGTGTGGACTTAAGTTTTAGAAGTCTCTTTCAGACAAATTCTTCTCTGAGCTTAAGGGAAAAGATGGCAATAAGGATCAGCAAGGATATCAAACTTTGTATCCACTGTCTCGATTATCTTTAACTGTACCCAGCACGGTGGGATTTCAATATCCATGCACCGTGTATCATCTTGATATGGAACGCTATTCCCCCAGTTGCTTTATATCAGTTCTCATCTGACAAAAGAGATCTCACAGGTCTAGTCCTTGTTCCAAGCAGATTTACTAACTTTTGGAGTTTGTCCTAGGCAAATGTATTAGTGTTACAGACTCAGGATGTGGCTTTATTGCATTCTTATGTTCCATGAAAGAAAAGACCATCCTCACATCATAATGCAATTGCTTATCAATATCTCTGTTTTTTATAAGCTTCCAACTGTCTTGGACAAGAGAAACGTGTCTTGAAAGAAGGACTAGTAAATTCAAGACAAGCTGCAATATGGGGTCAAAGTGTCATTATTTGTATATCTGAAAAAAAATTCTGACATATCTGAAATATGTCGACATTTCAAATATTGACATACCTGAAAAATAAATTTAATTCTGGTAAAAGGCAGCTGAATCACAGCTCTGGAGAGAGCATTTCTCTGTTTTCTCACACTCCTTTATAGGACAGACTGTAGCAATGTATTTCTTTCCAAATTGCCTGATCAATAGATTTCTGCTCTAATGTGGAAAGACCACTTGTAAGGGATTACATTCCTGCTGTGTGTGTTTTGGTCCTGCTCAGTCAATCCAATCAGACTGTCAGCTATAGGAATGCTATTGCTATGTACCTTGCATTCAGCCTGTCACTTCTGTATCTCACACTTGTTTTTTTACCCATGACCTCAAGTTCCCCATGACAGCAATTTAAAAACATTATTGACCCTACAGGCCCAGTCAGAACTGGTGTGTCATTTTTGTGTAAAGCTGAAAGAAAATTTGCAGTGGTCAGGGTAACCTGCTATTTCCTTTTTGCAGAGGGAGAAGTTGAGGCAGGGAAGGTAGATGAAAAAGAAGAAAAGGAGCATCCTTGTCACATCCAGGGTCTGATGGAGGTAGTACATCAGTCTCCCATTTCCTGAGTAGACCACTACACTACATTGCTTCTCTGTCAGATGTGCTGAAGAGCGTGCTTGCTGATGCCACTCATTCCTGGCTTGCAAAAGAGACCTAAGAATTGCTAAAATTAAGTCTCTCTTAGGCCAATTAGAAGGGCCCTGGGTTCTGATTTCCATTTCTGACCATGAATTCCACCTGGCCACACCAGACAAAATAACTGAAGCCCCTAAACTCTTGTGCACCTGGCCAAACTCCATTACATGTCTGTGTAGGTAGAGCTGGATGCTGGCAAACCCTGCATTTCCTTTCTAGTGCTCATGCCGTACTCACCAATGCGGAGTTCAAAGTTGTTAAATGAATGCTTGTTAATCTCCTGTATGCTTTCATTCAGAGCTATGGAGAAGTCAGCAAGAGCACACAAATGTCCCCATTTGTCTTCACATTGCTGAAGAGTGAATTAAAACAGAATTCATTACATGCATTTTGCATTTGTCTATAAAACAGCTCTCCCTCAAGAGATAAGTATATGAAATTATAATTCATAAGAGCAACCTCAACATGCCCTATTAGTCCCAGAGAGGTAGTTCAGTGTTAATGGGGAGGTAACACTTCCCATTTATGTTGTGCTGTTTATGTATTTCAGTACAGAGATGCCTTGCTGAGACATACAGAAGGAGGTCTTGTTTGACATCAGGAATTTGATGGGTAATAATGAGAATAGGCAGGAGATTGATAAAGCTACAGCAGCTACAGCAGTGAGGATAGGAAAGAGAGAATGTGGGTTAGGA